TGATTGAATATTCCAAGTATTCTTTAAATATCTTGTTTTTAATGACTGCAGATCATGTATTTCTTTTATTTCCTTTTATGAACAAAAATACTTTTTAAATCACTGCACATGGGTTATCCAAATGTGATTTTAAATTAAATGCCTTAATATTATAATACAAATTTGTTTCAAATAATTACTTTAGCAGTGAATTGGGCCAAACTGTTTTTTTATTTAATATCTGTAACATGTTTGTCATTTTGTCACACATACAGACACCTTCTGATAATAGATAACTGCTGAACTGTGGTTTACCAACTGTAATGTTTTTGACCCATGCTGTGCATTAGAAGGGTAGTGATACAAAAGCAGTTTTTATTCAAAAAGTAAAAAAGCAAAACATAAAATAATAATGTACAATGATGAAAAACAAGTTAATTGAGGAATTCCTTGAATYCGGAATGATGAAATTAATTTATTGCAAAGATATAGAAGATAAAAACTCAGCCGGGTCACTTTTGACCCATGTTTTGCATCCAAGTTTAAGCAACAAATCACATTAACTTTAACAAGAAACAACTGCTTAGAAATGATTATAAAATATTATCATCATGAAAATAACTATGTAGTGGGCACAGTTATTCTCATTCACTAACAGTAGAAGTAATATTTTAATGAGCAATTTAGCATTTGCACTAACTTAATAAAGAAGTAACAGACTATAGTATCAGTTATTTTCTGTGTCACCAAATATACAGAATGCACCAACATATTCTTGATATGTTCAATAATATTGACTCTCACATGCTTCAGTGACATTTTTGATAATGCTGGGTTGTGAACATCACTTGAGTGGAGTAGCACATTGTTTTTTGACACATGCTGGACTGGACATTAATATGTTAAATATTAGCAGTTTAGCTTTGGCTTCTTCCAATTTGTCGATTTAGCTTTTCATTGTTAGCTGAACTAAGAAATTTATGTAGCAGTTTAGATGTTAGTGAAACTAATAATTTGGTCAGCTGTACCCACCATTGGTAGTTGTAATGATGATGTAAAAAAAGCATTATCGAAAAACTCAACCCATTCTCACTCCCGAGTCGTCACATATTGACGTTTTTCAAAGGTCCCTTTGCATCCAATTTTGACGCATCAGGTACCCCCCTTGCGTCATATTTTGACGGGATGGGGCGGAATCTGTTGTCGTAATTTTTCAAAGTGTAGAAAATGCACAAATAGTACCGTCCCAAAGCGTGAAATTACGTGTATTCACTTTAGACATCCTGTCCCAGACCCTAGTACCTAAAATTAACCATTAACCCTGATACGTAAAATTAACCATTTTTAGAAAATGTAGGAAATTCATGGCAACTACGTGTTGCAAAGCCTAAAATTACCTAATGTTCACTGTAGACATCCTATCCCTGACCCCAGTCCCTAAACTTAACCATTTATCCTGATCCCTAATGTTAACCTCAGACCCCCGACCCAAAGACCCCTGGTGGCGCAACCCGGAAAAGCCGCGGGCGGCAAGGACTGACGCGAAGGGGGTACCTGATGCGTCAAAATTAGACGCAAAGGGACCTTTGAAAAACGTCAATATGTGACGAGTCGGGAGTGAGAATGTGTTGAAAAACTAGTATTGGATAGAATACTGAAGACAATAAAGGCAGATAGTGATGTTTATGGGGAGTTAAACCTACATGACATCACTCTGGAGATTACCGTTTACCAAAGTTCATTTAAGATGTTTGATATGTTTTTTGTGTAAATATCAATATATCTGCATGTGGACTTTCATGCATACACATATCCATTTGTGTTTTCCAGGGAATGATGTACCTGGAGGAGCGCAGACTCGTCCACAGAGATTTGGCAGCCCGAAATGTTCTAGTCAAATCTCCAAATCACATCAAGATCACTGACTTTGGACTGGCTCGGCTGCTGGATGTCAACGAGAAAGAATATAATGCTGATGGAGGAAAGGTAAATGCATACATACATACAAACATATATACACATACATATACACATATATATATATATATACACACATACACACACACATATATATATATATATATTAGTTTCTAAAATTTAGAAATTCTTGAGCACCACAAATACATTGTTTCAGTATCTCATGATTACAGTTCATTGTGTCTGGACTTTGCAGATGTAATGAGCTTCAGAATTGTTGTTTAATTCRTTTTTTTTCTTGACAAAGAGCTTTGCTTGATCCAGCTATTTTTTTCCCTTTGAGTAATGCAGATCAATCTGTATAAATTAGATTTTAAACAGCCCCTAATATATAACTTTTTTTCGCTGAGAACACCAAGTTTATTTTTCTCCTTTTTTATTTTTACTGAGAATGCAGCAGCTAATTATATTTTCAATTTTAAACAGAACCCCCACACCTGCATTCCCCCAGTGCCTATCTAAACCCGAGTATATTAGATGTTAATTCATTCTAAAAGTAATTTTGAACATTTCGGATGTAATGCTGATGGAAAACTTTTTGTGCCTTATTTAGGGTCATGTCTACAATGAGAATAAAAACAGTAAATATGTGTGAAGCCAAYGATTTGAATCTGTTTTGTCCACATAGTTACTACTTATTTTCTCTAGAAAATGCTCAACTCAACTACTGCATTGTATATTCAAATATAATATACCACTACTACTAACACTACTACTAATACTACTACTACTACTACTAATACTAATACTACTACTACTACTACTACTACTAATAAT